CTGAATTACATGCACCATGGTCATGTGATAGAATTCTCATAAATACATATATTTAGTTTCTGTTAGTACTTACAAATATTGCTGTAAATCAATATTATTGAATGCGTTTGACGGTATGGATGGCAGGTACATATTCTTTAAATCTCTGCAAAGAATAGTTAAATGTACGGTCAATACAGTTATATATCAATACATAAAAAATCATAGTATTAACAGCGGTCAATTGAATATTGATAATAGCATAAAAGACATCATACTTACAACCTCCTACAGGTGATGTCATTGAAGGAATAAGGTGCAAGTGAACTCAGCGGATTATCGGTCAAATAACTACAAGATAAAATACAGAGAATATTATACAATTCAATCACCTGCTGAATATAATCATACAAAAGATGCTATTTAATTTAAATTCACAACAGATAGGATTCAATTTTAAACAACTTCATTTGCAGACCCAAGGTCTTGTTTCACAAGGTTCAATCAACTACGAAGCCACCCAGTCAAAAACTGATTCAGACAAGATTTTAAAGCACCTATACCACCATTCATTTATTTAGATACTGAATATATACTCCAATTTGTGTTGGCTTAATATTAATTAATTAATACATACATGAAATTGGCATCGATGTTGTCAAATGCATATGAACCAATAGATGAGATATCATTGTTTGTCAGGTCACTGAAATATAAAAAATAAAAAAAATAATGTGAACAAATTCATTATTCACAGAGTTTTAGACTTTCTACTTAAAAGTGAAAATCTGCTAAACTAAATCCATGAAAACAATTACAATAGAATTCATTAATTCACTGGCAAATTTGTTTACACTGTATTATATTCCTCTGTAACATGCATTGTCATATGATAAGTAGATGCAAAACTTGAATTTACCTCCCTTGGTGCATTGTCATATGATAAGTAGATGCAAAACTTGAATTTATCTCCCAAAATGCATTGCCACATGCTCTGTAGATGCAAAACTTGAATTTACCTCCCTTGGTGCTTTGTCATATGATAAGTAGATGCAAAACTTGAATTTATCTCCCAAAATGCATTGCCGCATGCTCTGTAGATGCAAAACTTGAATTTACCTCCCTTAGTGCTTTGTCATATGATAAGTAGATGCAAAACTTAAATTTATCTCCCATAATGCATTGCCACATGCTCAGTAACATGCTCAGTAGATGCAAAACTTGAATATATCTCCCAGAATGTATGACATGTAGTAAGATTCTGAAGATGATATGATTGAAAACATACACCGATAGTGATACTTACAATGTATTTATACCCTGTATGTTGCTAAAAATACCAGCAGGAAGTGATGTAAGTCGGTTGTTATCCAAACCACTGAAAAATAATATAAAAACATCAGTGACATATCATACATGATTCAGCAAATACAAGTGATTTAAAAGCTGAGAAAGTAAATTTCCAATAATACTTTGCAGTTAAAAGCATACTTACAAATTGGTTATTGATACGTTGACAAAATCTCCATCATTTGGCAAGACAGTCAGATGATTGTTTGATAGATCTAGAGTCACCAATGAAGTAAAATGTGCAAAAGACCCTGGCTCGATGTATGCAAGCTCATTATATGATAAGTCCAGAGTGTTTGTTAGAGGGCAGTCTTCTAACGTGGTGTCTAGAATACGGCCTATTTGATTAGAGGACAGATCACTGTATATAAGAAGAATAAAGAAATTATAAATTTGCATATTTTTAATCATTCACAAGTAAATGATGATGAGGCAAATTGCATTAGGTTGCTAAGTTACTGTTGCCAGGGATATGCCTTCGCCAGTTGGTGCGTTCGGCACTCAGAATTTCTGACCAGAACAAAAAATTGCTGACCAGCACTATTTGTTAATGATACAGTGTGTTGGCCACTGGACCATCATTCTATTGTCCTTGTTGGTTTTTATACACAATAGAGGTATGTATGACCTAAAAAATGTACCATATGCGAGTAACAAGTAGCCAAATGTGCCGTATGCGAGTTATTCACCTCCATGTTACTCATCGTTTTGGTGTTTTTTTTTTTTTTGCATTTAGCGAGCTGAGGTGCATGAATCCACATCTACCATTGGCTGGCGGTGCCCTCAAAAGTCGGCATCATGGCAACCAGCTAGACGGCTTTTCATTTTTATTTTCACTTCGGCTTTGGCATCATCAATATTATGGTCATGACCAGCATCCCTTTGGCAGGCAACCAAATCGTGATATTACCATCACAAACATGTTATTTAAATGTTCACCAATATGAGTTTTTGTTTTGAAACCACATTTGGAGATTTTCCTGTTTCTAATTCTCCCAAACTTCATATAGTGGCAACGCAATGAGTTTTCAGCACTGAACGCTACTACTGCAGGCCAAATTCACTGTTGGGAAGATGTGTGAAGACTGATGATAGAACTAGTCCAAATTTTAGTTCTTTTTTTAATCATAGCTGATAACTGTATACTAATGAATAGAGCACAACACAAATAACGATTCTACTGTTAGTATTTGCTGGTACTGAAATACATACATGTGATAACAGGATATTAACATTTGTGACCAGGTAATATTGTATTTATAAAACTCATGTAGTATAAAACTCATTTCCTTTTTTTTTTCTTTACTTTATATTTGTATTCTTGTAATTATCTCGCTCCATGGTTTTTGTGTAGAAAGTGTACTCTTTTGATGGGATAATTTTATGTATTTATATATGTGGTTAACGTAAAAATAAAATAAAATATAAACAAGCAGCCTATCGGCTGAGATAGCTCCGCTGTTAGCAATGCACATTTCAATTAAAGAACTGAAGACATCATTAGAAAATGAACAATATGAATAGTATCAAAGCAATCAGACTTACAGTTTTTAACAAGAAGTCGAAAATATCACTTTTTACCAAAAAATACAAAAATATTCACCAAAATAAATTAATTAGAGAATTGAAGATATCATCACAAAATGAACAAATCTGAGAGAGGTCCACATGTAGTACCTATATATGTAATATCAAAGCAATCGGACTTACAGTTTTCAACAAGAAGTCGAAAATATCACTTTTTACCAAAAATGGCAAAAATATTCACCAAAATTAGAGAACTGAAGATATCATCACAAAATGAACAAATCTGAGAAAGGTCTACATGTAGTATCTATATATGTAATATCAAAGCAATTGAACTATTGATTTTTAACAAGAAGTCGAAAATATCACTTTTACCAAAAATTACAAAAATATTCACCAAAATTAGAGAATTGAAGATATCATTACAAAATGAACAA